CCATAGTGTGTGAATTATTGTTTCTATTTCTGTCTTACATTGAAAACAAAGAGCACTAAAGGTAAAAGCTGCTTTAAGAAGATAGGGGTTTGTTGTTAAAATGTGTTGATTTATTCTGTGTTTGAGACATTGTAATTTTGAATTTCTAGTTACTGTAAAAGGAATCATGTATATCAATTTCCATGTGTCATCATCAATTTCAAACAATTCATTCCATTTATTTTTCCCAGTGGATATGGTACTATTTTGGCACAACAACTTATAAAAATCTCGGGTTCCTTTTTTATGCTTCATACATATTTTTAAATTTCAGGGTACGTATGGATAACTAATCAAAGTATTTGAAGTATAATCATTGGATATATAGTTTTTATAGCATTAATAATACCTTGATATGTGAAAAAGTTAGTTTTTACATCAAATTTATATGAAAATTCTATAAAACTATAAAAAATACCAGACCTATTATCTTTTAATAAGTCATTTATAAATATAACACCATTTTCAAACCATTGCTTGTATAGGCATTTTCATTCTACTTGTATTGGAGGTTTTTTTTTATCTCTCTTATACAATCTTCTTTATCTGCTATTTTTTTTAGATAACACTTGCCATTTACTTGCCATTTACCCCCTGACGTAAACAATCTACGTATCAAAGTTAGTTTCAAGGCTTCAATAAAAGACTTGATGTGTATCATTTTAAGACCCCCTTCCTGATAGTTTTTGCTAATTATATCCCGTTTTGTTTTTTCTACTTTACTTTTCCATATTAAAAAGTTCTGAATTTATTTTTTTAATAAAATAAACATTTGGATTTGGTAAGGAGCTAAATAGATGATTAAATTGGGATATTAATAAAGATTTAGTGTTAATATTCTTCTACTCCAAATTTTGATAATTGACATAAGTTTCACTAATCTTTTATCATAGTTAAACCAATCTTCTTAACCAAAGTGAAGCGGAAAATATAGGTAAGAAGCAGCATCCAAAGCATCACATGTGATTAGCATCCTTATATACAGAAGCCATGCAAGCTTAGTTGGTGTACAAGTAGTTACTTAGTCACTAATCTTAACCAGGTCGGTCAAGCGGAAAATGTAGGTCTGAAGCAGCATCCGTTAAATTAATGTACAAGTAGTTACTTAGTAACTGACATTAACCAATCTTCTTGACCAGGCCACTGAAGCGGAAACTGAAGGTCAGAACCAGCATCCGAAGCATCGCATGTGATAAGCATCCTTAGATACATAAGCCATGCAATCGAAGTTGTGGGATAATTCATAACTTGGAAACGGAGCTGAACCATTCCCCTTAACCTTATAGTTAGTGCAGACAGACGGAAAGACGTCCGGACGGGAATCGCCAATCTATAAGCCCTGATTACGTTGCAGTCAGGCCGAAAATAGCTCTATATTAACTCAATAATCATATATGGAACCTGTTGAATTATGCTTCCATGACTGCCCCACCCCTCACGAATTTAATCTGCCATTGGGGACGTAATCGTTGAATCAGAACAGGGAAACGATTGGGATCCCCTCCGTCATATCAAGTATACGGATCATATATGAAGCATCTTTGGTTCATAGGAATTGATTGTTGTGGAAAGGAAGTGTATCTCTCCCGGATGTCCATAAAACAGTCGAGTGATGGAGGTCGTTTTGGCCTCTTGCTATTTACCGCCACTGGAAACTATTGTGTTACACCATTAAAAATGACACCAACACATTTTGATCGTCATGATATTTTATTTGTTGAAAGGTTTAAAACGAATAAAACATTGTTTGATAGGTATGTGATATAATATAACCGACAGAACAAATTGTTTTCATTTAAACTTCGCGAATTCGCCAATAATTAAATAACTTATTAATTAATAAGAATGGTTTTTTTTTAACTAACAATTTTTGGCATAAAATTATGCAATTTCACAAAACACTTATATTTGGTTTCAGCTTGGGGGATCTAAATTTTTGTGTAGGTGAATGTGCAACATGTATTAAAAACAACCTTTCTAACTTACTTTTACCATACTCATATAACTGAAATTGTTTCTGCATGAATATTAAACTCTAATGTCTCTACTGGTGAAAAATCTATTATTAAACAAACAAAACATATTTTCATGAAATGACAAAAGGAACATCAAACAGACGAAAATGAACAACGTTGTACAATCAAAATATGAATAGACTGGAATTGTGTTAAGTAACTTAACAACGTGTTCTGTGAACATTTGATACAAAATGGCCAGAACATTTAAATATTCCATTTTGATTGTTGGCAAAATGTGAATTTATATTATATATAGCATGGCACGAGATGAACTTCTCTGTAATGAAATTGTATGTGGGACATGATATTTAACACTTAGATGAGAAGACGCTTACGGTTGCTACTAATACGGTGATATATTGGTATAGCGACTTGCATTGCTAGGTTGAATTGTTTCTGGTTTTATGATTGATCACATTACTGTATAGTGAGAAACTGGTGGACTTATAATCAATATTGATGGCTGGATAATTGGTGTTACTGGTTTCAGATATCAATACAGTTTATTTATCTCCATATTCCTTTGAAAACGGACAAATTAAAAAATCAGAGAAAACGTTGGTACCATACATGAATGATGTCTGTATAAAAATTTAAAAAATCTTAAAGCAACCTAAAGTTCCATCAATATAACATGTATAATATACATATTTATGGTTGTTCCCCTAAGAATGAACATACACAAAATAGCGGCTGTATCAAATGTACCTTGCTATTTTCTAACAGTGACATACAGTATATTATCAACCCTAAATTTGTACATTAAAATAAGATTAAAAACAAGGAAATGAGACACCTCGGAGTGACGATTCCTGTGGAGTTTACTTCACCGACGATACACAACATGGAAATACTTAAACCGGAACAGTTTAAACAGTCTCAATGGGAAACGTGATGGTGAAAAATAAATTCGAATTAAGTTTTTTTTCGACCTTTTAAGTGTACTAATGATTATTTTTATAACAGTTCTTATAATACAAGTCGATGCTTTAGGTAAAGAGTACCATCACGTAATAATGTATGTTGGTCATTATCATGAATTATTTAGTCTTTGAAATCCATTTCTACGGAAATGTTTCATACGCATTTTAGGAAGTTATAGTTGTTTGAAATTTTAAAACAAAAATATATATTAACAAAAGAAGAACAAATAAGTAAAACTACAGGTATCAAACTCGAACCCTACTTGCAAAATGCTATTCATTACTAAAAATATGAAGTAGGGAAGCACCTGTTTAGCATTTGGGTTGTCAATTCAGAAAGCCAAACAAAGCAAACAATCAACTGCACCATAGGGCCATTCCGTGCATTTATAACTCGTTAATGTACTATAGTGTATTAGTAGTGCTAGGGAATTAACTCTAACCCGATTTTTGTTTATTTATAAAACATGTGTACACATATATAAATATACCATTTTATGGGAGAATATTCGAAGTTCAAAAAACACTTTCGCGATTACAGCTGGAGCACAGGTACCCTTTACCTAAAATATTGTATATACAATTGTATAAATTGAAATGGTGTTTGTACATATCTTCATCTTTGTATACGTTTGTAAATTTATATCTTCTACTTTGAATATGTATTCTACTTTGTTTATGTTTAATAATTATATATATTTTCTACTTTGTTTGTTTGTAAAATCATATATTCTACTTTGTTTGTTTGTAAAATCTTATATTCTACTTTGTTTATGTTTAATAATTATATATTCTTCTTTGTTTGTAAAATCATATATTCTTCTTTGTTTGTTTGTAAAATCATATATTCTTCTTTGCTTGTTTGTAAAATCATATATTCTACTTTGTTTATGTTTAATAATTATATACTCTTCTTTGTTTGTAAAATCATATATTCTTCTTTGTTTGTTTGTAAAATCATATATTCTACTTTGTTTATGTTTAATAATTATATACTCTACTTTGTTTGTTTGTAAAATCATATATTCTTCTTTGTTTGTAAAATCATATATTCTACTTTGTTTATATTTAATAATTATATATTCTTTGTTTGTTTGTAAAAGTATATGTTCTACTTTGTTTATGTTTAATAATTATATACTCTTCTTTGTTTGTAAAATCATATATTCTACTTTGTTTGTTTGTAAAATCATATATTCTACTTTGTTTATTTGTAAAATCATATATTCTACTTTGTTTGTTTGTAAAATCATATATTCTACTTTGTTTGTTTGTAAAATCATATATTCTACTTTGTTTGTTTGTAAAATCATATATTCTACTTTGTTTGTTTGTAAAATCATATATTCTACTTTGTTTGTTTGTAAAATCATATATTCTACTTTGTTTGTTTGTAAAATCATATATTCTACTTTGTTTGTTTGTAAAATCATATATTCTACTTTGTTTGTTTGTAAAATCATATATTCTACTTTGTTTGTTTGTAAAATCATATATTCTACTTTGTTTGTTTGTAAAATCATATATTCTACTTTGTTTGTTTGTAAAATCATATATTCTACTTTGTTTGTTTGTAAAATCATATATTCTACTTTGTTTATATTTAATAATTATATATTCTTTGTTTGTTTGTAAAAGTATATGTTCTACTTTGTTTATGTTTGTAAAATTAAATATTCTACTTTGTTTATTTTTGTATATTTATGTGTTCTACTTTGTTTGTTGGAACATTTATATATTTTACTTTGTTCATGTATGTATATACACAAGTTCTTCGTCGTTCGAGCTGTACGTTGTATATTATTGTATATCTTTTTATCTTAAATGTTTGTCTATGTTTTAGTATGGAGTCACTGTTTAACACGTTACATAAAATTATTTGAAATCAAAAAGTGACTCTACAAGCAATACCTTACTTCTCACCGATCAGAAGGTCACGTGTTATATACAAATGATCGTATGAAAGCTGTATTGCATATTGTGTATATGATACACAGAAGATCAACAACCACACACTATATTGATATGCACTAAAGTTTTCATTTAATAAAGGAAAATAATGTAATTGACATCCAACACTGAAAGTCAACGATACCTAAAGTTGTTATAACAAAACTTCAGATTCCTTAAACATATTACGGCGATCATACCAAATCGTAAAATGTCTGGTGAATTTTCGACAATATGCAGTTAAATTATAAAATAACAGATTTCATTAGAAACTACTTTTCATACATTGAAAAACAAAGTTTGATTTTTATATCAAAAGTTGTTTAATATCGTTTTTCTTCGTTGTAAATAATGTTCAGGCTCTTATCGTAATTTTGTTATCACCAAAGCGAACTGAAACGGAACATTTTAGCAAGTGTTGTTAAAATTTATCAATAAACATATACAACCTTAATACAGTTTTGATTGTCAATTTATGTGTTTACAATACTGTTTCGTGGTTTATCATTGAAGACGTCGCTTGTGTAATGGTTACACATAGAAACACATCTTACAATAATGAGCGCATCAGAATATTTAGAACAGGAATCTCAGGGAAATCCTCAGACTACTTTTTATTTAGTTTCCTCTATGCTTATTTTAAAAGATAAAAAATAACTTAGTATTTGTTCTCAGAGACCTGGAATAAAATCATATTTGACGTTATTTATATATCCTTATTTTGTCATAACATACACTCTATAATCATTACACAGTGTTATGGGACATCATCAACTCTAGCTTTGTTACTGCACAACGTTATGTGCAACTTCTCGATGGTAGATTAAACCATTCAGAGTGATGGTGCTAGCTCACCAGATGAAATGACAGTTGTGTTGGTGCCCGACTACCATTACTGTAGGTGTTTATTAACGAATAACAAAAGGTGCATTTCAGACGACGTTTAAAGGAATTCTTCGATCTGATTAAATCATGGTCAAGAAATACATACATATACATTATTGAGACTTACAGATATACAAAAATAACTTTCTTGCAACAATTATTATCTTTGAATGTGAATTTACGGTCATTATTTATACAAAAATCACCAAATACTAACCATTAAGGTTTTTTTACATTAAACTACAACCCTATGAAAAGATACTCCAACATTCACATTTGTTTCGGCTTTCAGTTTGGTAAACTCCTACGTCGCCTGTGTTTTCTTTAACACTCATTGAGAAATTTCAATGAAAGAGTTGTTTTAGAACTGCTTTAACTGTTTTTGATCTGGCTGCATTTCAAATTCTAGCAAGGAATGTCCATTTTACCATCATGGTTACATCAGCTTCTGGTGCTAATGGTGAATGCGATGTTCGCTTCTGTTCTATTCTTTATAAGCTATTTTCAGCCACACACCATGGACACATGACTCGAGCTAATATATTTCAAAGCTAGACTTAATGTCGACAGAGAACTAGTTCGAGCTTTACAATCCCAATAACAATGACCCGAGATAGCAGTAAGGGACCGCTGTGTCATTTCTATAGGTTGTTCGGCGATTTATTAAACTCTACACTTGCACTGCTAGAGGAATATTTTGGCAGAAGATTGTCCTGTGTTGACGTGGTTTCTTTAATGCTATAGTGGTCGGTAATTAGCTTGATTTTACTGAGGTCTTCTCCTTTCCGTATCTGTTCCTCTTTCAGTTGTGGAGTAGTACATGCAATGAATCGCTGAAACAGAAGCAGTTCCATAACAATTTGAAATACATCAGCTTGTTTAGTAGAATACGAATTAAGTTTAATTTAATCAAATTTCCAAGAAAATGCCGAAGGTCATATTTATTTCACACAGTTTTGTTTCCTTTTCTTAAATATATTAAAAGTATAAATTTCATGTTTTCTTTATTGGAATTCCCTTTATAAATCAAATACAGCAGTTTTCGGTCCATGTAGTGATATTAAAGCAGTAGAAATGTTGAAACGGATAAGGCACAAGAAAACATGGTATGAGTTAAAATATGACAATCATAATCTTCATTCTTACCTCATGTATCGTGCCCTTTGCTTCATAAATACGCTTGATTATTATGATTGGAATCCAGATGACAGAGATCATAGCAAGCGTCCATCCGATACCGATTGCCCATGATGGGTAGGTGTATGTTATATGCTTCCTCTTGTATTCCAACTCGGAGTAACTGATGGCTCCCATGATGAAGATAGTCTGTAATAGACGGAATTGTTTGATAACGGGCATTGCATTTTAACCGTTCAAATGGTCTGTTTTCTCAAATGATATCTGCCGACATATTATGTCACCTTACATTTAGTTGGTATTCTTATTAAAGGAAACGACCAGAATAAGAACAGATGTTGAGAAAAATACTGTAAGTGTCATGTTGTCCCGACTTCTGCATAACATTATATGCTCGAGTGTACACTGTGTCTAATTATGTATTAAATGATAAAAGCTTTCCTGGTTAATGTTTGCCAGTAGCTCCATTAACTCGAATCAGTCAAGTTGTCTACATTTTCACTTTACGAACAATGTAACAGAATAAACCTAAACCTGTTACCCTGTTTCGTTATACACAACTTGTTATAACATGATATATACCAGGTTACCCTGTATCGGTAAACATACCATGGTATATTATGGTATATACCACGTTGCCCTGTATCGGTAAACACTCCATGTTATATTATGATATATACCATGTTACCATGTATCGGTAAACACACTATGTTATATTATGATATATACCCCGTTACCCTGTATCGGTATACACACACCATGGTATAGTATGGTTTACTTACCACGTTATATGCTGGTATATACCATGTTACCACGTACCGGTAAACACTATATGTTATATGATGGTATATACCACGTTACCCTGTATCGGTATACACACCATCGTGTTATAGTAGGGTTTACTCACCACGTTATATGATGGTATATACCATGTTACCATGTATCGGTAAACACACTATGTTATATTATGATATATACCCCGTTACCCTGTATCGGTATACACACCATGGTATAGTATGGTTTACTCACCACGTTATATGATGGTATATACCACGTTACCCTGTATCGGTATACACACCATGGTATAGTATGGTTTACTCACCACGCTATATGATGGTATATACCATGTTACCACGTACCGGTAAACACACTATGTTATATTATGGTATATACCACGTTACCCTGAATCAGTCTACATACCATAGTGAAGGCTGGTGTAATGAACATCCAGAAAATTTTGGTCCAGAAGGGTAATTGGAACCCGAACATCATTTCTATGTTGTCATAGAATCGATCAATACCTGCCAAATACAATAAAAACACATGTAAGTACAACTATTACAGAATGCGACACACCCTCTCCTCCTCTTATCGCCTGTAATTACCATCATTTCCGCGCGAGTATTATGATTTCCTATGCGATCTGTGTGATACTAAATATTCTATCAAGGCCTACGGAATGGTGCTATATACTTACCCCGTGTGGACAGATTTGGTCTAAACGAAATAACAACATTTTAGTTATTGATCAAGCAAAACCTGTTCCCCTACATCAACTATTAAACAGACCACTTCTACACGTTGTCTTAACTCTAACGAATAAGGAACAGTCTATCTATAGATCAATTGCATCAACGCGAGATATCGTTTTAATGATAATGAAACTTCTATAATTATATAGCGATGACATGAAGTATAATTTATGCCATATTCCGATACTGCCGTCACTTACTGTAGCAGTCAACACAATGTTTAACGACACAAAATTACACAAAGTCACAATCAAAAATTATCTGGGTAAAAAAATCAGCACTTTTGTACAAACTTCCTCACGATTGCTTTTATCTTAAGCTGCACTAAGAAGATTTAAATGGATCGCCGTGAAACGATTTAACAATTGTCAAAAAAAAAAAAAATACGTCCAGTAAAATACACATTTTACAAGTGTGGTTAGTCAATACAAATATGTTACAATACAGAGAATTTGATAAATTATAACGAGTAATAATTGAATGATACCGTGAACTACAAAATTATGTTTGCAAAATAATTCACGAAGGTACATTTGTAAATGAATTATAATCATTACTGAATCATATCAACTCTTTCACCCCTCAAATCTCATAATAAACTATTCCATCCTTTGAATTGGAGGAGTTCAAATGTGTCTTCAGGGGTGAATAAGTCAAAGGGTTGCATTGGGAAAGTATTGAGTCAAGATTAAAAACATTGGTAGTTTGCGTGGGACGGCCTGGTCACTCCTTCGGAACATCAGTAAGAAACAGGTTTTTGTTATTAGGGATCCCCTAAAGAATCATGATAATTAGGTTATCCAATCACAGAGTCGCTGGTAGATTTGATAGCGGTAACTACTAATAGAGGTACCGCTCATATGTACCTGTGCTTTTGAAACTTTTAATTTGCAATGAGTTAAACTCTGACCCTTTAATTAAAACCAGAATTTAATTGATAGAAAAGTTACGTTGTAAAGATGTGCATTAGTTATATATTATTAAAAGAAAGAAAACAAACATAATGATATTTATAACTGAGTGATTACATCGGCTATCATATAACTGTGAGTATAGGTAAGCAACACCCTCTCTGAAAACCAAAAATGGAAAGTACAAAAGGTCACATGTTGTATTACAGAAAAAATGTTAATAATTTTGCAGTAATATATTTCTCCAGCGCAAAGTCTCTGAGGATCAACCTGTCCTTGAGTTTCACTTCAGCCTTTAAACCTCGTACTGGTGGTGAAATTAGTCGATGATCATTTAAGGTGAAAGTGTTACAGTGCATTTATGATTATAGTGAATTTATTTAAATGACAAGAATCGCATTTACTTAGAGGCTGAGTGTAACAAAGCGAGAGCCTATTTATTGTATAAATCTTACAATATTAAATTGATTAAGAAGAAAAAAGTAGAAAATTTCTTTAATCCACACAATGAAAAGAGAAACAATTTGTGGTTATGCAAGATAAAAAAACACTTGGAGTAGTTAGTGAAGTACATGTAAACCATGATTACTCTTCATTAGTACATCAAATTCTGCAGAAGTTGGGTGCAATGGAAACTTAGCTACCTGCTTTTTGATTATACAGTTTCCGTGTAAATCCTAACCGTAAACTGGTCTAAGGGCGAAATGGGTAAACAAACGGGAACCTAACAGGCACGACGGCAGGCGAAATGGGGAATTGTTTTGGGGCCAAAAATAGATGGTGCCGCCATTGTTACGGGAGATCCATGTGGTTATTGCTTTGGTGCCCTCAACAGCAACATGACTTATGTTAAGATGTTAAGCCAAAATCATACGTATTCTTATTAATTCACGCCAGGTCTTCAAACATTGAAGTAAATTTTGTTATTTGGTTGTTTTGGTAACACGCGTTATCTTTTTTGAATATTAGTCATAAGATGTGCATGCTGTGTAGACATGCCACACCCATTGTTTGTTTTAACCAGATGAATCTCCTAGGGGTACAACATACCGTAGATGTAAGCTACCACGATGCACTCGAAGAAGGCAACAACGAGAACAATTCGGCTGGCAGAGTAGTAGTCGAATAACTGAAATACATACATTCCGCCCTGTGGGACGGAGTCATCCTTTAGTTAAACACAACATAAACAATTCATGTATCTTTATCATTAAATCTATGTTTGCCTAACAGTCGGCTAGCATTTCCGCACACGGCAGATTAGTAGTTAGCTAAATTGTGTACCAGTCTTCCAATACGCCACTAGTTATAGCGTATCACTCTCCCCATAAGCGTACATATACCTGAACATGTAATTTCCTTCCCTAGTATTTTCCTATTGAAAAAAACCTAAAATACCATTCCCATCCCCCTATACTACACGATGTATGCATCGTGACTAATTATTTTTCTAACATAAGCGCTACAACCCTGAGATAATGTTTGAGATCATGCAGACAATATACAACACAACCTTACCTCTGTCACCATCGACAAGCCGATAAAGAAACATATCACACAGACAATGGCAATAAATATTTCTCTCCTCCGGCCTCGTCTAAGGTACTGTGGGTAACCGTCAACGACGGCAGTGACAAACCCTTCCACACCCACAAACTGTAAAACAAACATGGAGTTTGGAACAAACACTAAATACCAAAAGATCCTGAAGTTTTCAGGTAAAAGGCATATAGACACAGCATAATTTCTGACATTATTATATCACATGAGAAAATTACATTCCTTAGAAATCAACAAAACTGAACATAGGATGTTATTAATATTGGTTAAGGATGTACATATTACATTAGTTAAAGATACTTAGTTATAAAAAAATATCACATATTGTAGAAATGCATACATTGAATGAAATAATTCAAAATCAAATCGGTCAAGTTAAGCTATAAGATATGATTATATGAATGAATTACTGCTTAAAAGAAATGTTTTGCCTTTAAAACATTGGATAACCCCTTTAAGCGGTCATGGCTTATTTCCAAAGGATACATTGAAACTGAAACTATTTAAATCAATTTCATAAAACATTATTATTGTCCAATTAAAATGTATTGGGCTTATCTGACATACACATATATACCTCTTATAACCAAGGTAAGTTTTATTTAGGTTAATATAAACTTTACTTCATTCCAAACTAAGTTGCATTTCATCACATAACATACAAAGTACAGAGGAATGGGATCCGGAAACAAGTTGAAATAACTTTATGGTTTAGGTTAATATGGTCATTGAGAGTTTACCTACCTGACTATCAAGACCAAGTAATAACACCATTGCAAAGAACAGAACAGCCCAAAGGGGCGCAACTGGCATCTGTCTGACTGCCTCAGGGTAGGCGATGAATGCCAATCCGGGTCCTGAAATACATAAAGTAAAATCTGAGGACGTTGCTTGCAAACATTACTCCTTTCAACTCTAGGTAACTTTAATGGACTCTACCATGCATTTATCAGGATTAGTCCATTATGGTCTACAGTGGTGAAAGGGTTAATAATGATTAAAGAATAATAATGCTAATGTGAGAATTTGACCGGTGTGATTCTAATTAAATTTGATTATCATTGCATCAGTAGCAAGTGATTTTGACGTTTTTTACGAGGGAAAACTGCGAAGAAAACAAAATGTGTTTGGGAAAATATATTTTTAGGAGCCGAAAATGACAAGAGTAGTTCGGTACGTGGCCAAGGGGAGTTATGCCGGTACTTCGGAGTTGGTCTTCACCACTGACATAGGGAAAAAGCTCTTAGGGACGGCGAGTGTCGAACAACAATGTTTTTTTAGGAGCGCAAAATGACAGAGTATTTCTCACCGTTGAAAAAATCTGTGAGGTTCTTATCAAGACTATTCGGTACGTACGGTTGTATAAGCTATGTTTTGGAAACTTTGGACTCTTATTCGTCTACTGAGCCCTGTCATCATACAAGGTAACGGTCGCGAAATTCCTTTTTCACTTGGGTTATCAAATAAATAGGAATAAACAAGGACCTTATTAATATATATGTTGTAATGCACTGCTTGTTTCGTAAGATTGAGAAGGCAAATAGTCTGGTCATTTCAACACATGTATATATCAACTGTCATTTTTCATTGATGAAGAGTTACCTCTCTTACAATATAAATGTTCTGCTAACCTGATTCGGCAACCTTGTCCACGGTGGTACCTTGTTGTTTAGCCATAAAACCTAAGACGGAAAATATCACAAGCCCAGCCAGAATGCTGGTGAAACTGTTGACAGCTGCGAAACCCATGCTATCCCTGTAAAAAAAATGGTTATAATTTCATCTGACAAGCGAAACCCAACAACATAAACTTAAAAATTATAACCGATGAATAAATACAAATCAAGACCACACTAATGAATCAATAAAGCTAAATATAGATATTAATACCTAGACATATAACAAAAGCATAGAGTGTAAATGTCTTGGTTTTTGTTTTGTATAAAATTACCTAAACGAGTTATGTTTGAATCTGTTGTAACTTCCCAGGGCTGTTAGAGTTCCCAGACTGATGGAGTAGCTGAAGAAGATTTGAGTTCCTGCATCTACCCACACCTGTAAAGACAAACAATCAATCTTATCTCCTTTCACAGTCGAGCATGATAATCACATAAAATGACAATAATATCAATGTACAATACTTTTTTATAATTATAATTTTAAATCATTCCACTGAAATACACTGTAAACTACAGCTAATATACACCTCGCTACATGTTAATCTATAAACATCTATAATGGCAATCTCGCTGCAAAATACTCTATAAAGCACAATTTAATAGTCATCCCCCAACGAAACATTTAAATAACTTAATGGCCTACGGTTAATAGTTCATAGTTCTCTAAATTCTAGAGTTTAAGAATTAACACTTAATGTTTTGAGCCTTTACTGAATAAACACGTACCTGTATGCTTGCATGTGATTTTATTAAGTCAAACTTTAGATACCTGGTGGTCATAGAGGTAAAGTAAAATGTTCCAAGTATGTCCAGTTTTTTATGTTACATACGTACAGAAACTTATTGTTTAGGCCATGCAAAAACATTTTGTGATTCTAGTAACCCTACATACCCTATTGTTTTACCTACTCTTAACATTTTAAGTCAATTTTCAAAAGGGTGATGTTAATGTCAAGATCAATCACCAAATTAAAGCCACAACGCAACGATATATTCATTCTATTACGTTAACCACAGGTAAGTTATATCCCTCCATAAAATAGTCCTTTAACCAGTTCGAAGACTTATCCCGCTACAAAACTCTAAATAAACTTAAGTCATAATATATGTTTCGCTAAAATACTCGGTAATCCATAGTTACAAGATATGTCATGCTAAAACAACGTTCAATTAACCAAATGTTTAAACATCCATCCCGCAACAAGTACTCCATGAACCAGTTAAAAAGTACATCCCACTACAAAATACTATATAAACAAAGGGTAAACGTATAGCTCACTACAAAATACTATATAAACAAAGGGTAAATGTACATCCCACTACAAAATACTATATAGACAAAGGGTAAAAGTATAGCTCGCTACAAAAATTACACTCCTAAGATGTACATTGTTTTGAAATACTCTCGAAAACAGTTTAAAGATATATCACGCTAAACACTTTTAAATTTTAAATCAAGCTAAAAAAATCTCATCAACATCAGTTAATTTTCACAATGATTTGATCGAAGATTGTCTGTCTTTGATTCAATTGATCCAGCCACTCAGTTGTGTATAGCTATAAACTGGTTTCAATTGTTCCAGCCACTCAGTTGTTTATAGCTATAAACTTGTTTCAATTGACCCAGCCACTCAGTTGTTTTTGGCTATAAACTGGTTTCAATTGCCCCAGCCACTCAGTTGTGTATGGCTATAAACTGGTTTCAATTGATCCAGCCACGCAGTTGTTTATGGCTATAAACTGGTTTCAATTGATCCAGCCACTCAGTTGTTTATAGCTATAAACTTGTTTCAATTGCCCCAGCCACTCAGTTGTTTTTGGCTATAAACTGGTTTCAATTGACCCAGCCACTCAGTTGTGTATGGCTATAAACTGGTTTCAATTGATCCAGCCACGCAGTTATTTATGGCTATTAACTGGTTTCAATTGATCCAGCCACGCAGTTATTTATGGCTATAAACTGGTTTCAATGTATCCAGCCACGCAGTTATTTATGGCTATTAACTGGTTTCAATGTATCCAGCCACGCAGTTATTTATGGCTATAAACTGGTTTCAATTGATCCAGCCACGCAGTTATTTATGGCTATAAACTGGTTTCAATTGATCCAACACTCAGTTACTTATGGCTATAAACTGGTTTCAATTGATCCAGCCACGCAGTTGTTTTTGGATATAAACTGGTTTTTAATTGATACAGCCACGCAGTTGTGTATGGCTATAAACTGGTTTCAATTGATCCAGCCACGCAGTTGTTAATGGCTATAAACTGGTTTCAATTGATCCAGCCACGCAGTTGTTTGTGGATATAAACTTGTTTGTAATTGATACAGCCACGCAGTTGTGTATGGCTATTAACTGGTTTCAATTGATCCAACACTCAGTTGGGTATGGCTATAAACTGGTTTCAATTGATACAACACTCAGTTGTGTATGGCTATAAACTGGTTTCAATTGATCCAACACTCGGTTGTGTATGGCTATAAACTGGTTTCAATTGATCCAATACTCAGTTGTGTATGGCTATAAACTGGTTTCAATTTATCCAGCGACGCAGTTATTTATGGCTATTAACTGGTTTCAATTGATCCAGCCACGCAGTTATTTATGGCTATAAACTGGTTTCAATTGATCCAGCTACTCAGTTATTTATGGCTATAAACTGGTTTCAATTGATACAACACTCAGTTGTGTATGGCTATAAACTGGTTTCAATTGATCCAGCGACGCAGTTATTTATGGCTATTAACTGGTTTCAATTGATCCAGCCACGCAGTTGTTTGTGGATATAAACTGGTTTTTAATTGATACAGCCACGCAGTTGTGTATGGCTATAAACTGGTTTCAATTGATACAGCCACACAGTTGTGTATGGCTATTAACTGGTTTCAATTGACCCAGCCACTCAGTTGTGTATGGCTATACACTGGTTTCAATTGATACAGCCACGCAGTTGTGTATGGCTATAAACTGGTTTCAATTGACCCAGCCACACAGTTGTGCATGACTATAAACTGGTTTCAATTGACCCAGCCGCTCAGTTGTTTATGGCTATAAACTGGTTTCAATTGATCCAGCTACCCAGTTGTGTATGGTTATAAACTGGTTTCAATTGATCCATCTACTCAGTTGTTTATGGCTATAAACTGGTATCAATTGATCCAGCTACCCAGTTGTTTATAGTTATAAACTGGTTTCAATTGATCCAGCTACACAGTTGTCTATGGTTATAAACTGGTTTCAATTGATCCAGCTACTCAGCTATTTATGGCTATAAACTGGCTTCGATTGATCCAGCTACTCAGTTGTTTTAATGGCTATAAACTGGTTTCAATTGATCCAGATACCCAGTTGTTTTTGGCTATAAACAGGTTTCAATTGATCCAGCCACCCAGTTGTTTATGGCTATAAACTGGTTGCAATTGATCCAGCTACCCAGTTATTTATGGCTCTAAACAGGTTTCAATTGATCCAGCTACCCAGTTGTGTATGGTTATAAACTGGTTTCAATTGATCCAGCTACCCAGTCGTTTATGGTTATAAACTGGTTTCAATTGATTCAGCTACCCAGTTGTTTATGGTTATAAACTGGTTTTAATTGATCCAGCTACTCAGTTATTTATGGCTATAAACTGGTTTCAATGTATCCAGCCACGCAGTTATTTATGGCTATTAACTTGTTTCAATTGATCCAGCCACTCAGTTATTTATGGCTATAAACTGGTTTCAATTGATTCAGCTACCCAGTTGTTTATGGTTATAAACTGGCTTCAATTGATCCAGCTACCCAGTTGTTTATGATTATAAACTGGTTTCAATTGATCCAGCTACCCAGTTATTTATGGCTCTAAACAGGTTTCAATTGATCCAGCTACCCAGTTGTTTGTGGTTATAAACTGGTTTCAATTGATCCAGCTACACAGTTGTTTATGGTTATAAACTGGTTTCAACTGATCCAGCTACCCAGTTGTTTATGGTTATAAACTGGTTTCAGTTGATCCAGCTACCCAGTTGTTTATGGTTATAAACTGGTTTCAGTTGATCCAGCTACCCAGTTGTTTATGGTTATAAACTGGCTTCAATTGATCCAGCTACCCAGTTGTTTATAGTTATAAACTGGTTTCAATTGATCCAGCTACCCAGTTGTTTGTGGTTATAAACTGGTTTCAATTGATCCAGCTACCCAGTCGTTTATGGTTATAAACTGGTTTCAATTGACCCAGCTACCCAGTTGGTTATGGCTATAAACTGGTTTCAATTGATCAAGCTACTCAGTTATTTATGGCTATAAACTGGCTTCGATTGATCCAGCTACTCAGTTGTTTATGGTTATAAACTGGTTTTCATTGACCCAGCTACCCAGTTGTTTATGGCTACAAACTGGTTTCAATTGATCCAGCTACTCAGTCGTTTATGGCTATAAACTGGTTTCGATTGATGCAGCTACTCAGTTGTTTATGGCTATAAACAGGTTTCAATTTATCTAGCTATTCAGCTGTTTATGGTTATAAACTGGTTTCAATTGACCCAGCTACCCAGTTGGTTATGGCTATAAACAGGTTTCAATTGAGCCAGCTACTCAGTTGGTTATGGCTATAAACTGGTTTCAATTGATCTAGCTACTCAGTTATTTATGGTTATAAACTTGTTTCGATTGACCCAGCTACCAAGTTGTGTATGGCTATAAACTGGTTTCGATTGATCCAGCTACTCAGTTATTTATGGCTATAAACTGGCTTCGATTGATCCAGCTACTCAGTTGTTTATGGCTTTAAACAGGTTTCAATTGATCCAGCTACTCAGCTGTTTATGGTTATAAACTGGTTTCAATTGACCCAGCTACTCAGTTGTTTATGGTTATAAACTGGTTTCAGTTGATCCAGCTACCCAGTTGTTTATGGTTATAAACTGGTTTCAATTGACCCAGCTACCCAGTTGTTTATGGCTACAAACTGGTTTCAATTGATCCAGCTACTCAGTCGTTTATGGCTATAAACTGGTTTCGATTGATCTAGCTACTCAGTTACTTATGGTTATAAACTGGTTTCGATTGACCCAGCTACCAAGTTGTGTATGGCTTTAAACTGGTTTCGATTGACCCAGCTACTCAGTTGTTTATGGCTTTAAACAGGTTTCAATTGATCCAGCTACCCAGTTGTGTATGGTTATAAACTGGTTTCAATTGATCCAGCTACTCAGATGTTTATGGCTATAAACTGGCTTCGATTGATCCAGCTACTCAGTTGTTTATGGTTATAAACTGGTTTCAGTTGATCCAGCTACCCAGTTGTTTATGGTTATAAACTGGTTTCAGTTGATCCAGCTACCCAGTTGTTTATGGTTACAAACTGGTTTCAATTGATCCAGCTACTCAGTCGTTTATGGCTATAAACTGGTTTCGATTGATCTAGCTACTCAGTTACTTATGGTTATAAACTGGTTTCGATTGACCCAGCTACCAAGTTGTGTATGGCTATAAACTGGTTTCGATTGATCCAGCTTCCCAGTTGTTTATGGCTATAAACTGGTTTCGATTGATCTAGCTACTCAGTTATTTATGGTTATAAACTGGTTTTGATTGACCCAGCTGCCCAGTTGTTTATGGCTATAAACTGGTTTCGATTGATGCAGCTACTCAGTTGTTTATGGCTATAAACAGGTTTCAATTTATCTAGCTATTCAGCTGTTTATGGTTATAAACTGGTTTCAATTGATCCATCTACCCAGTTGTTTATGGTTATAAACTGGCTTCAATTGATCCAGCTACCCAGTTGTTTATTGTTATAAACTGGTTTCAATTGATCCAGCTACTCAGCTATTTATGGCTATAAACTGGCTTCGATTGATCCAGCTACTCAGTTGTTTATGGCTTTAAACTGGTTTCGATTGATCTAGCTACTCAGTTATTTATGGTTATAAACTGGTTTTGATTGACCCAGCTGCCCAGTTGTTTATGGCTATAAACTGGTTTGAATTGATCCAGCTACTCAGTTATTTATGGTTATAAACTTGTTTCGATTGACCCAGCTACCAAGTTGTGTATGGCTATAAACTGGTTTCGATTGATCCAGCTTCCCAGTTGTTTATGGCTATAAACTGGTTTTAATTGATCCAGCTACCCAGTTGTTTATGGTTACAAACTGGTTTCAATTGATCCAGCTACTCAGATGTTTATGGCTATAAACTGGCTTCAATTGATCCAGCTACCCAGTTGTTTATTGTTATAAACTGGTTTCAATTGATCCAGCTACCCAGTTGTTTATGGCTATAAACTGGTTTCAATTGATCCAGCTACCCAGTTATTTATGGCTATAAACAGGTTTCAATTGATCCAGCTACCCAGTTGTTTATGGCTATAAACTGGTTTCAATTGATCCAGATACTCAGTTGTTTTTGGCTATAAACAGGTTTCAATTGATCCAGCCAATCAGTTGTTTATGGTTATTAACGGGTTTCAATTGATAAAGCCACTCAGTTGTTTTTGGCTATAAACAGGTTTCAATTGATCCAGCCAATCAGTTGTTTATGGCTATAAACTGGTTTCAATTGACCCAGCCACGCAGTTGTTTATATATGGTTATAAAATGGTTTCAATTGATCCAGCAACTCAGTTGTTTATGGTTATAAAATCGAATCATGTAAGACTCCAAACGAACCACCTCAGTTAAAACCGATGTCAGACTCCAAACGAACCACCTCAGTTAAAACTGATATCAAAATAAAAAAATAGTCGGTAATTTACTTCAATGATATTATGATGTACATGTACACAGTCCGCCTTATTTTTCTTCCTAACCACAAGACAAGCATTGGTTGGGATTCAGAGAAGCTGCATCCGCCATGTTTAGCTATGATAACAACCACGCCAGAACTGGTGGGGATTCTGTCCAGACCGACAGCCCAAATCCTTTGTAACCGTTGCGGCTTTATTGTCATCGATTGGTTTCCACTCTACTGATTTGTATAGATGGCAACACAAATCTGTGTGCCGCATCAAATTTGTTTCACCTAATCTCGAAAAATCTTGCATTGCCTCGTCGAGTTTGTGCCAAATCGATACATAGCATCCCTCCCTCCCGACATTTGCTGATCAGCCTAACGCACATTTTGACACCATCGTATGCACGCTACTGAATGTATGCACAACTGAAGTGACATGACAGTGTTCCACTAGAGACGACATTGTCATCATAAAGGTGTATCGCTCATTCAGACAAGACATGAATCATAATGTGATTGATACCTTATGACCAAGTCTATTGCTTCCCCCTTCACATATTATTCAGACCGTCTCACTACACGAACAGTACAATGCGGACTACTATCACGCTACTTCCACAACTCGCTAGCACGAATTTATAATCAATTGAACAAATAATTGACGTTCGACACAACAAACATCTCCTACATTAATAATGGATCCAGTGCAGCAATTACACCTCAATTCAATATCTACTGCTCTTTTCTATTTACATAATAACTTGAAGGAAATAAACAACATTGGCAAGGTTTCATCGAACATGATGCACAGTAAATTAGAAATTAGAACACGGAAAATTAGAATAAATCAATTATAATATTACGATAAACTGTATAAGGAAGACATTTCTTTTCATTACTAACTAACGATATATTTCAACATTATTTGATATATTGGCGAAAGCATTGACCAGAAAAATCTTACAGAAGCATTTAGATTTTTTTTCACACTTCGATAAATCTTTATCCTTCAAGTGAAATACTTCAAATGAGGAAACTGTACACTTTTTTTTCCAGAAAATACGATATGGCTATTTTTTGAAATAAGAAAAAGACAGCCATCAAAGACAGCCATCATAAACTTTTTTCGTTTTCGTGACTTTCAAAACAAAAAGCATTTGATGTACATTTTGGTAAGTATGATTTCTCCAAATTTCACTTTTATCAATATAAGTGTAACTAAAATTATATCAAGAATGTATTTAAATTCACGGGAGAATGTTTTTTTTAAAGTATTCTTCAAACTTTACACGAAACACAAGTAAAACCTAATCTCACTGGACATGCACGTACATTTGTTCCTTCATAAACCTTACTGCTCTGCTCGAAATGCAACGAATCACTCTCTAAATCATACTCGACATGCACTTTTTCTATAAACTCTGCATGAGATGAACAACTCTGTATGTAGACTCAACATTCATAACAAACCAAGCGGCAAAGCATGTATGTACCTGTGGGTCCAGGAGTCTCTGCCAGTCAGGGATCAGGTAGTAACGGATACCGTCGATGGCCCCGTCCAATGTGACGCCACGGATAAGCAACACGAACATGAGCACATAGGGGCTGGTGGCCGTGAAGTACATCACCTGCACGGAAAGGGAAGCAATGGATAAGACAACAGGCAAGGACCACATAGACAGGGGAAATGATAGGCATAACGCTGAACGTGAACTGGGCAGACCAAATGCAGACTAAAATCGAGTGCAGTTATAACGTAATATCAATAACATTTGTAATTACTTTGAACTTTTATCTGAATATAGAATGAAATGATACCTATGTATCAGTTTTTACTATTATCATTTAGATGAATTTATAATGAAAAGGCAACTACAATATGCAGTCAAGATCCCACGCTGAGCTGTGCAAAGAAAGTGGTTAGGACGGGATCCTCGGGGCTTTATTTAGAAGATATCCATTAAGCGTTGATAGGACCTGTTGGATGAGTAACCCTCCTTGGATTGATCGAGTGCTAAATAATATTTTTCTTTTCTTTCTTTTTTTTTTTTAAATTCTAAAATTGAAAATACGAGGCTGGGTATCTTGCCCTCTATATCAGGGTTGTTTGCCTCAGCCCGAAATATCACCTTTCCGGATGATTTAATGCCTTTCCATATGCAGAAATAGATGATGATCCATGCTAGTAAGAGGCACAGGGCGAGGTCCCACTTGATGTTGCCAGGGTGGTCCACCCCGTCGGAGAGCTGCAGGACTTTCCGCCTGTAGAAAGTTTAGGCGATAGAGTATTTGGAGCCATTTCACGTCGCAAAGAGAAACTCATGCGGTGTGATCCTGGCTATTGCATATCATGAATCAAACTGAACAACGAGTGCCAAGAGGTGTTAGGTCGCCCAATCATTGACACTTACCACTTGTTGTCAACCAGTTTTGCCAGAGACTTAGACTGTGCAAACCGGAAATGACGTGGCAGAATAGTTTTTAAAGCTATAGTTGGTAATATCGTAATTTGAAGGTGTATAAATATAAAGTACAAAATTTAATAAATGTATATTTCGTATTATATATTTTCCATTATATTTTCGAAAACCTGTGGTTAATGCTGCTCGCAGTAAGTTTCAATCCCTACTGGCGCCGATATGAAGCAGGTGCGACGGAGAAACAAAGGATATGGGTCTGGAAAGTCAAGTCTTTCCATTTACCATTTCAAATAATTAATTTCCCAAAGGACGAATTCCAAAGAATTCTAGCATGCATAAAACTAGACAGTCTCACAGACCAGCAATCGATAACTGGTCTTGACTACAAGCATACAGGAGAAGTTTGGAGGAGACAAGTGTGCTAACCACATCCTCACCAGCACAACAGAAACCATTCGCAGCTATCTCTATTTTGAAATGAAAATGATTAGATAGAAAGTGTCATTTTACTATTTATTAGAAAATATAACTCTGAGGGCATTTCGGAACATTTGGAATCAAAATATTATTAAGCAAACAGTCAAATAACAAGGATGTGGCTTTCAAAATCATCTCCTTTCATATCGGGGACACGAACTAGTCTAGAAAGCAAATAACCCTTTTAGATATTGCTTTATATATATATAAAAAAATGCAAATAAATAAACTCTTATTCATTACAAGGAAATTTATTTGCTAAAACATTAATTAAAAAGGATGCAGGAAGTTGTTGAAGCATTCCAATGGAATTAAGTTTTTGTTGGAGGTATTATGAAAATCTAATTTACCTTAACTTTTATCTTAATACGTGTACTAAAACGCCATGCACATTACGGAAGTTTCGTATACGCTATTCGCGAATTTTATCATAAAATTTGAACAATTCCAAACGCCATTTTTGTCTAGATCTTTTTTGCTCAACAAAATCGTTTGCCAAATATGATTTTATTATAAACTGAATTAAGCAAACCTATATGTAACGTTTCATCCCTTTGTTTTTCGTTTTATCCTTAAGGAAAATACGACGAAAAAAGGGACTGTTTTATTGATAAGTATTGTTAAAGTGTCCATAAAACAAAAGTTGTTAAGACCGCACAGTGTGATCTCTACGATGGAAAATTCCCGAATGTGGTAATTTTCCACGTCAAGGTAGCTATGGCTACCGCGTCACCGTGGAGGTGAACTATATATGGAGAAGCAGATGCTCACAGCTTTATGTACAACACAAGCCATGTGGGGACATCAATTATTCATTGAGTCGGTGGAGAGTGCTGATGGTCATTCTTTTATAAACAATACAACATTTTTCTAAGTTGTTACCCGTGCTTTACAACGGTTTGTCTATTACGTATACATAATAAATGTGTTTTTCTGTTCAAAGTTTGCCTTGTGCGGTCAAAATCAAATTTTGTTGAAATCCACATCTCCAATTATTAATTGTAACACATATATGCTGTTCTCTGTACATTAATACGATAGAAGAATTTCAATTGCAATGTGCATATATCAACATATAAGGCTATATCAGGATCGGCGCCAGGGCAGGAGAGACACTTACTAAGTACATGGTTACAATGGATGTATATGTGTGATATAGGTATATATACTTATGTATAATTCGAATACGTACTTTCCAGATGAATAGCTTAAACATGATGTAAAACTATACAAAGCAACACATGATTCGTCTAGACCAAGGTAATATCCGGCAAAACGTCAATAACACGCAATAATATCGTATCAATTTTACATATTGCCTGCCTTTTTAATGTTCACACAGTGCATTGTCATGTCATAATGATACAGCTTATTTCGTGTGAAGCGGCAACGATTAATCATCCGTTTACGAGCCATATGCTGCTTTGCATAACAGTAAGGGTTTCTCGACTTCACCTAGTAGTATTACACAAGAACGAAATGATTTCTAAAAGTCAAAAACATATTCATTCGTTTGAAATATCTGCGAAATATGCCGTAATAAATGAAAAATATTTTCTGATAGATAATAAAAAATATAATGTTTTCATACTTGGTTAAGTCTGAGAAAGCGAATACGTAGTAGTGATAGCCAAAATGCAGAAATAAAAAAACTCCCCATCGCATTGCTCCGACGACAGCTTCGTGTTGGCCAAACGACCTTGTTAGTGCAAATCTAATAAACAAACCAACATAACGTTTATTAACAGGTGAAACGCCCATCAGCAGCTAGCACCCAACCAGGCAATTCAACTGAAAATGAAATATGTAGAAAGACAGAACAATGTGTTTATCATATTTTCTTATTTATATTATTTTCAAAATCAACATATTTGACTTTGATAGCTCACATCTAACCATGTGGCACAGAATGATTTATTAGTATGTGAGCATACGATATGTCATACACAATGTTACATCAACAACAGCCGACGTTATTCATTGTCCTTCAAATGGTGAATTACGTACACAATTCATATGCTCACACATTAATACTGATGTTCATTAGAATAACATCTAGCTGACAAAACATTCCTCTTCCAAAAACAGTAAACATTCCTCTTTCAGGCTATTAACGGGATTCTCACCAAAATATGAAACATTCCTACTAAAAGAAGTATAGATAAGCCTTTTTACGGGTCGTGTGAACAGTTGGCGGCATGCAGTACTAAATACACAAAATGTACCATTTCAATCAAGGTCAAAAACTTTTGTCTATAGTTGAGCCTGTCAGCTGAATGCATTGTAAATACACCATTATTACCAAATTTTAAATTCCTTAGCTTAACATGAACATTGGAGTAACCAAACATACATCCAAAATGAAAACAGATTTGAGTTTTGCATCAGATGTTTGATAAATTAAAGTAAATACGGTAAGCATCATTGTTATAACTCTATTTCTCTAACAAAGGAACAATCTTTAAACGTGACGAAACAACTGAATATCTTTGTTGCAACATAGCAGAACTCAAATATGTTTCCATTATAGATCAGTGTGGGCATCCGGTATTATCTTAACGAGTGTTGAGCAGCATTAACCTACAAGCTATGACGTAACACACAAATGCATGCTTAAGATTGAAAGAGAACTAACACGCATTGAATCAAAGTCTGTCTACAACCTTATTCTTCTGAAACTCATCACACTATATCTCATTTTCATTTTTCTATTACTTCAGTTCTTTTCCCCACAAAATGTCTAGAAAAAACCTTGTAATAGGGAATAGGGCCAGACATTGTTAACTTTTGAGTTAATATATCTTTGCAAAATATCTACGATAAATCTTTGCGTTGTCAACGCATTACGATCTTCTTCGGAAATTTTCCTAATGCTGAAGGTGGGGATGCATTCGGCTGTTTTACACAAGGAAAGGTGTGTTGGGGCGGGCAGGTTTGTAGATGGGTGTGTTCGTTCTATATTATGGAAGGCTCTAAGTTACCGTACTTAGTCGCGGGCAAGTCGTTGAAGGGTTTGGGAGGGCGTTGTCCGGAGAGGGATGACCTGTAACAAAAATCTTCAAAAAAACCCATACATGATGTAAAATGAACGTCGGCAGAAGAGCTTCTCCGTCACGTAAGGATGAAAACCCTACTTACTCCCAAAATTCTGTAACAGGGTCGCACGCTGGTGGTTTGGCCGCCGCCTCGGTTGCTTTGTCACCCAGTTTGGTCACAAATGCAGCAACAGTGGTGGTGACGTCCGTCATGTTTAACGTCGTCCAGTTAGTCTGTTTCTCCGAATACATTTCTCTGCACGCAGGGGAATTCCATTCGTTATTGCCATGGGACCACGGAAGGACCGCAGTGAATGAGGAGAAGAGATAGTACAGCGCCCATGTTAGGATGATGTTGTACTCGCAGTTAAGCAAAAAGACGATAATGGCGCATGCGTATCCAATACCTATAAGGAAAAACAGAATGACAGATGCTGAAACAAACCTCGAACGGCAATGAATTTTAGCAAGTGTATTACTAACGATGTTTTTATAATATTTCTATACCACTTTGATGACAAATCAAGTATTCCGTTCATTCTGATATACCGGAACACTTAATTGATAACTGTAAAATATACAAATAGAGAATCAACGAGATACAAATCTAAAATAATAATAAAATGTTACCTCTTGATTCATCCAGCATTACACAAACTCAATTCGCTAAGTGAGCTGAAAAAAAAAAGATATTAGTCCTAACGCGTACAAATTTACACGCAAGTTTTGTTATAACAATATTTCATCGTTAACGTAAGAGATTGAACTCACCTTGGAACAATGGAGCAATCTTCCAACATCCTATCCCTCCTTCAGCCATGAACTGACCCAAGCTTACTTCCAGGAAAAATGTAGGTATACCACCCAGCAATACGGCTATGAAATACGGTATCAGGAACGCACCTATAACACAATAGGTAACTCCATTAGTGATAACTATCTTACTGCAAAAGCTTTCAAGATATGAATTATTACCAGGAGAGCCCTTCGCGTGTTCCAATATCTTTCTAGAATTTTTACGGAAGAAAAAACGAAACAACAGATATGATGTTCCTTTCTCCAAGTTGAACCCCCCTAAACAAAATTATATATATATAATACTTTGAAGGTAGTTATTCTCAAAGCAACTACTAAGTGAATCAATGTTTTCCAGAAAAGAGAAGGTTTAAGGATGTGCATTACATTAAAGAAGAGGGTCAAAAATTTACAGTAAAGAGGAGTCAATAATTAACAGTAAAGAAGGGAATCAATGAATTACAGTTTAGAGGAGGGTCGATGATTACCAGTAAAGGCCTCGGAGGGTTAAAACTTTACATTAACGAAGAGGGTCAATAATTTACAGTAAAGAGGAGGTCAATTATTTACAGTAAGAAGGTGGGTCAATGATTTACAGCGCAGAGTCATTAACCTTTAGAATAACGAAGGGTCAATGACGTTTGCTTAGATGACAAATGACCGTGCCCTTAAGTTAAATATGATTATCTCTGTCCAGTCCCCCACTGTCACAAGGATATGGAAACACCATAAAAATTCAGTATGAAATCGTCTAAATGTCGCTTTAAATGTCCGATAGATTGGTTTAGGTGTCGCGATAACCATGCGGTTCGTCAACAAAGAAACTATTGTCTACTTGCCAATGTTAAGGCCCGTTAAAGGTAATTCAACTGTTTGGGGTCATCACAACGATTTGTTTTCTGCTCTGTGGAACTTTGAAGGATTAGTTTCAATGTTAAGAATTATTTTTTTAAATGCAGGTATCTGAATGTCAATCAATATTGCCAACCTCCCCTAATTTAATAGCAATGTCCCTCCACAATCGTTACAGATCCCCTTGTTTTCCCGTAACACCTCACTTGGTATTAATACAATGCCCCTCTACAAACAGTTGAGATAGCTTAGTTTATCTATATATGACGTAGCTTATGGGGATACAAAAAATCAGACATACATTATCTGCAATAACGCCATCCTTGAATCTCTGACCCTGTCTCCAGCACACATACACACATGCACACTTAAACAACACACATGGAGATGACCATAGCTGTTAATAGGACATTAAACAAAACGAAACCAAACTAAACTAAACAATCAATAAAGACATTATAACCTGACATTTTATCCTAACAAATTCGTTAATACCCGTCAACTATATGCTTAAACTCAAAATGGGATTTTGCAATAAGGGAAATTGAAATTAATTCAGGAGGCAGAGTAGGTGATCCACAATTACTCGACAGAGACATTACTATGGTGTTTTTATGTTTTATATAAACATCGTTTGTTGACAGTATGTTTGAACATGGTGCCCATATCCCGACTGTAAACACATTTGTGAAAATGTCAGATACACATGACAAGCTGCACTTATTTTTGGCATGGCGCTCAAGACATGGATATTTGCCCAACTCATTTAATGAAACGACATTCGCCTCAGACCACCGCACACACATGTGTATTTTACTCTGTCAATAATACTACGGAATGTGTGCTGTTCTGAAACGTGCTTTATAATTTCAATGTCTTCAAACAAAGAATGATCTCTGTGTCGACACAAGGGCGTTGCCGGTGCCCTACAACTCAGGCTTCTGACAGTTCAATGCAGAAGTGACAGCGTGCGTACCTTGTTATTTACAAAGGAGCTAGCTGCGCCTGTACCCTGTTAGTGATCACATATTAGTTTAAAAATCGGCACTACCTACGCCTTTTCACAGCTTAAAGTATTTCTTTTTAATATGTTGTTGGGGGTTATCAAAACTTCAGCAAGGCCAGATGTATACCTTAATATTCCGATTCTTTCGGATGTTTGCAATCTGCAAAGTCTACTTAATGTTCCGGAGTAGGTTGGCTGTCCTCATTTCTGGATAAACTGTTTTAGAATTTAGAACAGCCGTCATATTTAAATATACTATATGTCGATAATGCTAAAAATCTACAAAATAACGCAATAAACCTCGACAAAGCTAACCTTTAACCTCTTATCGAATCTTATCGAATTGTTCAAACAGGAAACTTCTGTTTAACAGTATCACATAATTGTTTATTTAAATAGGTTGTATAATTTAATTTACGACCATTATTATTGTTATCTACTCATAACATAATACATCTATGAGGTCCTGATAATTATAACAGTAATTTTTAGTTTTAATATTTATAACGATATTCTAGAGTAGTGATACGCCAGCTATCCTCCTACCTAGTAGACATGCCTGAATGCACTAGGACTCGGCGTACTACTTCACTGCACCGAGATGTGTGTGGTTGTGTGTGGTTGTGTGGCTCCTATACAACAGCTTGGGATAGGGGCCCACTGTTCAAAGTCTGGTAAGCTTATAACAAGAGGCCCAATGGGCCTGCATCGCTCACCTGGTATAAAACTCTTGTAACCTTAAAAGTGATCAAAAATAAAGCTACAGGCAAAATATCAGTAGTTATGATTAAAATTCGTTCAAAAGACCCAGTTATTTTTTTTAAAACATTTCACCCATGTGATTGAAAGTCAAACAAAGTCATTATGTTGAACACATTGTATAGCCTTTCATCTCAGGATGAAACTTGCAAAGTATAAACATCCTGGGACCCATGGTTATTCATAAGAGGTTGTTTAAAGATTTTAAACAAATGTGACCCCTGTGACCTTGAATATAAGTCAAAGTCATTCACTTTAACAAACATATAGTAGTCCTTGATCCCGGCATATGCTACTAACTAAATATCAACATCCTGAGCCTTTTGGTTATTCAGAACAAGTTGTTGAAATATTTTAAACATATTTGCTCCTTGTGACCTTGAATATGATTCAAGGTCATACATTTAAACAAACTTGGTAGCCCTTGATCCTAGTATGCTACTGACAAAATATCATCACCCAGGGCATTTTGGTTATTCAGAAGAAGTTGTTAAAGTTTTTAACATATTTGACCCCTGTGACCTTGAATATGGGTAAAGGTCATTCATTTGAACAAACTTTGTAGCCCTTCATCTCAGCATGCTTCTGGCCAAATATCATCACCCTAGACATTTTGGTTATTAAGAAGAAGTTATTTAAAGTTTTTTTTAAGACAATTGAACCCTGTGACCTTGAATATAATTGAAGGTCATTCATTTGAACAAACTTGGTAGCCCTTCACCCTAGCATGCTACTGACCAAATATCATCTCCCTGGGCAGTTTGGTTATTGAGAAGAAGTTGTTTAAAGTTTTTAACATATTTGACCCCTGTGACCTTGAAAATAGATGAAGGTCATTTATTTGAACAAACTTGGTAGCCCTTCATCCCAGTTTGCTTCTGGCCAAATATCATCACCCTAGGCCTTTCGGTTATTAAGAAGAAGTCGTTTAAAGTAAAATATTGACGCCGGACGACGGACGCCGCACCACGACATAAGCTCACCTGGCACGAACAGGTGAGCTAAAAATGACTCATTTTAAATTAATTTGTGACCTGGCTTTGAATATTTCACAAATATTTCCTGTCTTCATGTAGAGTCATATTTAACCTTTTTAATATGCCGCATATACATGTGCATGCAGTTATAAATATAAACTCCTATAATTTGTACGTATATAAGATGTAATATTCGTGTGTGCGTGTCGTTATGTGATAACTAAACTTTAAGCTGTTCCCAAGGATCCCGTTGCATGTCAACGTCTAACAAAGCCGACATAATAGCTCCATACCGTTAGAATTTCAATTAAGCATCTCATTTCGGATATGCATTACATATACCAGGCTGATATAAAGCACTGGTAAACCTTTGTATATCATATATCATTTAATTTTTGATGACTACGACGCGAATTCAAGCATTTGAAAAAGAATGGTAGCAACAGCACGCACTTTCACGATTTTATCAACACAAAGTCCATAATTCAATATATCTTTTGATTGAAATGTGTGTTTCCAACAGATTATTTTCCCAATAATTTATATTCAAAACTTAAATTCGTCCTGTGCTGTATGTATCCCCTTAGCTCAGAGCTTGTCCTTGTGGTCTGATTATATGTTATACTGGACTCTTGCTTATTCATTAAACAGTCTCTAGAACTGAGGAGAGTAGGCTTGCTGACAGTATAGGGTATGGACTTTGAAGCTAACAATGCTTAAATCGAGTTTTCTATTTGAAGCTATGTTTAGTTAGTTCATGTTTATATAAGCAATCACTTTGCGACTTTTCTACATGTACATGTCTATGTATGTATTTCACTGTGTTTCACTGTTTTTCCTTTAACTACTTTGTTGTTACAAATGTGCAAATACAAAATTTTGAATTTGAATTTGCAATGTATATGTTTCGTTTGTTTTATCTCCTTACTATTAACCTCTGAACTCAAAAATAAACTCATGGTTAACCACGTTGGCAAACTAGTTGTCGGTGTATTATGCTTATTCACTCTATGGTGCAATTATTTCTCATTCATCGATTGTTGCTTTAATTCTATGTTGGTTTTTATTATCAATATTTTACTGTGTAACACACACTTAAGTCTCTGTTGACGTCTGCTGTAAGGGGTGATGATAATCACAAAGCGCTCGGTAGTCCGAATTAATTATTATTTAATCGGCCTCCCAATCAGGATCCGATTACTACTGTACCTATAGATAGAGGTTAGGTCAGTATTTAAAAACTAAGACGATTGAATGCGTTGTCGTTGGCAAAGTTGTGAATAACCAGGTTTGTACACGTATATATAGACGGCAAATTTGTTCTGTTTAAGTTTAAATCCTATTTCTTGAGGCGTGATTCAAAACGACTACGCCAGATAATCTATCAATACCCAACCCTAACGGAAGGACATGTGCTCCACAAGCCTAGATCCCTGGATGTAGTTTCTCGTTAGATTTAGTTTTCCTTAAAATTGACTTAAAAGACGTCAATTTATATGCTTGGCGTATTACAA